GGGGAGGGAGAGCTGGGGAGGCAGGGCTGGGGCCGGGGCTGTGAGGAAGGCCGAGCTCTGAGCATCCAGGGTCCGGGTCCCCTGTGGAGAACTCCGCGCCCTCACGTGCCCGTCCCCGGGGCCCCTCCAGCTCCCGGCCCACCCCTGGGGTCCCTGCCCGGCCCCCATGCCGCCCCCCTTCTCGGGCCCGGACCGCACTCACCACAAGGCGGTTGTGAAGCCCCTTCCTCCTCTGCTTCTCCAGCTGGTTCCGCGCGTCCGCTTCCCGCAGGCGCCGCTCCAGGTGGGCCGCCCTGGGCCGCCAGGCTGCAGCAGGGGGTCGCCCGCAGGCGGGGGTTTCCAGCTTCGCCCCGTGCAGGGGCCCTTCCTGCCCTCAGGGAAAGCCCCTTCCCTCTTCTCCCGTCCGCTTTCCCATCTAACACGGCATGTTTTCCCAGCCGAGAGGCACCGCTCTCCGTAAAGTCACAGCCTGGTTCCCTTCGCTGGAGCACGTGGCGTGAGGACCACCTGTGCGGGCCGATGCCCCCCCGGGACCCTTCAGGACAGTCGTCCCTGAGCTGAGAGCCCCGAGAGGCATGATGAGACCCTGGGGCCGCAGAGACTTGAACTAAGATATCTGTGGGTGCCTGGGGGCAGGCAGTGGGCACCAGCTCCTGGTTTCGGCTCAGGTCGTGATCTCACGGTTCGTGGGTTCGAGCCCCGCGTCGGGCTCTGTGCTGACAGTTCGGAGCCTGGAGCTGCTTCGGATCCTGTGTCTCCCTCTCTCTCGGCCCCTCCCCCGCTCACTCTCTCTCTCTGATAAACTAAGATATCTGTCAGCCTGACATACCCAGTGTGCCTTGCTTCACGTGGCGCCACGGGGCCAAAGCACCGGACTCCAGCTGGGTGGTGCGGGGACGTCCCCATCCCGCCCCAACCGTGGCCGAGGCGCGTGGGCTTCCCAGATACGAGGACTGGGCTGGGCGGAGCGAACGGAGCCTAGGCCACACTCTAGGAGCCTCTGGCCCCGGACACTCAGCAGGGACTCGGCGCCAGCTCAGGGACGGCCTCAAGGTCCAGAGGGCCTCCGCAAGTCACCGGAGGAAACGGGGACCCCTGAGGGGGGACCGCGGCCAGGGCCGCACCCCCACGCACCGACGACTGCACCCGGCCCGGGCGGGGGCACCGAGTAAGAGGGCGGGACGGGGGCGGGGCCGCGCTTACACAGCACAGCCTGCTGGCCCAGCTGCGCTCCCTGGACCCTCGGGGCCACTTCAGAGAGACCCGCCCGCAGGCGGTCCCAGCAGTTTCCGAGAGCTTCCAGAAAAGAGGCGTGCAGCGCCCTTACGTCTTGCTTCAGCATCTACAAAACAAGAACACAGAGAACTGAGAGAGTGAACATTATATGTAATAAGTACCCGAGCGTCTGCGAAACAGGACCCCCGCCCCCGAGAGCACAGTCACGCGCTAATTCATCATGAGCGAAATCCGCGTAAAGCTCGTGTTCTTCGAAGTTAGACGAAGGACAGGCTCTGTCCGCTGTGAGCTTGCTCCTGAGGCTGGCTGGGCCCCGGCCCGCGCACCCCTCCCCCCCGAGGCCGGCCATGGGGCTCTGATGTCTTGTCCAGATGGGCCGCTCGGAGCCACGCTGTCCTGACCCCGCGCTTGGGGGACACACGTCCGCCCGGGCGCGCCTGCGAGGGCCTTCGGAGAAGTCCGGGGACAATGCAGCTGATAGACAGCACCCCGCGTGGGGCCCTTCCCTTCCGATGCGATTGCAAGGCCGTTTGGCGCCCGGACGAGAGGCCCACGGAAGGCAGGCGCGGGCGTCCTGCGGTTCAGCGCCCCCTGTGGAAGGATTCGGAGGTCGTAGCTGACCTGCGATAGACGCCGTTTGTTTGTTCCGTTACACCTTTCTTTCCTGTAACGTGGAAGCTGCGCCGTAGGCTTGGGAAACATCCCTATAAAATGTCAACACTGAGGCAGCATCGTGTGACCCGGGAGGCGGGTGAAGTTACACGATGTATGTGAAGGTGGGTCCGTTTCACTCAGCGCTGAGACAGCCAACAAGCAAGTCTACAGAAAGGCCGCCACGCCAAGGCCCTCACGGGCAGGAAGCAGACAGCTCTCCGGGCTAATCAGGTTTGCAGCCGGCGAGTCTGTCGCTGTCAGTGATCTTTCTTCCCTCCTGACTCTCGCCCAGGTCACGTTGTTTGTAACAAAGGGGGAACAATACTCCCAATCGGATGATGGTATAAAAATACGCGCCCGCGGCCTCGGCCTGGACGGCTGCCAGCCTGCCGCACCGGGCCCGCTTCCTGCTTCTCGTCCCGGACGCCCGGCCGTTCCACAGGGGCCGCTTCCAGGCGACGGCAGTGACGTTCGTGCGGGTCAGCCTGGCCTGGCTGGCCTGGACACAGCATCTCTCTACCCCCGACGTTAAAGTAAACGAGAGGGCGGCCATGACTCTGGTTACAGAGCGGCCACAGCCGTCCTCACGGACACACGGTGTTCTCCCTCCGGTTTCTGCTCAGGACCCAGTCCGGGCACCCATGGGCGCGGGGCCCTCTATTCAGCAGGTGGCGGCGGGTGGAAGGCGGGACTCCCGTGGGGGTAGGCATGGCAAGCGGGGACCGCAGTGATGCGTCTGCCGCCTGGCAAAGGCCACGTGGGCACGCGGTGACGCAACGTCTGCATCTACAGACTGAGGAGCTTTGCGTCATTAGATCACAGCTTCTTACGAGGAGACCCGTTTCCAGGGCGCCTGGGGGCTCACTTGGTTGAGAGCGCGACTCCTGATTTTGGCTCAGGTCATGGTCCCAGGGTCATGATGACGAAGTCTGAAGTGGGTTTCATGAGCAAGTGGCTAAGAAACAACGCTGAGACGTGTTTGGTGCAAAAAGGCGATTTTATTCCGGCACAGGGACAGGACTGTGGGCAGAAAGAGCTGCCCTGGGTCGCGAGGAGGCACTGACTCTGTACCTCCGAGTTTGCGGAGGGAGGGGGACTAGAGAAAGTGAGTCTGTAAGGAATTTGGAAGTGGCTTCCAGGAGCTTGAAGGGCTAGCTGCTGTGAAGATAAGGTTACTTTTAGTCTTTTATTTTTGTAACGTTTATTTATTTTTGAGAGAGACAGAGAAAGAGACAGAGACAGAGCGTGAGCAGTGGAGGGGCAGAGAGAGGGGGACACAGAATCCGAAGCAGCTCCAGGCTCCCGGCTGTCAGCAGAGCCCGACGCGGGGCTAGAACCCATGAAACCTGAGATCATGACCTGAGCTGAAGTTGGACTCTTAACCGACTGAGCCCCCAAGCCCCCGGGCTCCCCAGGTGCCCCTGGTCACTTTTAGTCTTTAACGAGACATAAGCGCTAGGGCAGCTGTGAGCGCCGTGAGGAAGGTGGTGCCCCGCCCGCCTCGGGTGTGTGTCGCCTGTGGGCTGGAAGGAGAGTCCATTTGAGCCACGTTTCTCTTGCCTTTGTGTCCGTGTCAGTGGGAAGGAGCCCAGCATCGGGCTCTGCACTGAGGGCGGAGCCTGCTTGAGATGCTCGCTCCCTCCCCCTGCCCCTCCCCCCAATAAATCAGTAGGAAAAGAAGAGTGGACCTATTTGGGCCGCATGACATCCGCAACGTCACCAGAACATCACGAAATGTGACCGCGGGGAGGGCTCCTACCTGAATCTCCGGGCGGAGCTGGAGCAAAGCCGAGCGGCGGCTTCCCCGCGGCCGGGCCTGCTGGCCGCGCAGGGAGGAGGGCGCCGCGGACTCGCCGCCCCTCTGTCCGGCCGCTCCCCGGTACTGGAGTGCAGAAAACAGTAAGAAGTGACTCGGCATCTCAGAACCCTGCATTCGATGCGTTTTATCCGAGGGGAGGACACTCACGGCTTGTTGACGGCGCCCACCAGCTAGCGGGGTGGGGTGGGGGTGGGGGTCGTGGCTCTCGAGGCACAGGGAACACAGATGGCACCGCATGGGGACCCAGCAGGGGGCAGCCGAGCCGAGGGCGTTAGCCAGCGGCAGGGCAGGCGCGCACAGGCCCAGGTGGCCCGGCCGACGCAGCGGCGAGGGGGCGGGGACAGGTCAGCCGTCCGGGTGGGTCCGTCAGATTTTTCCCGACAGACACTTGTGCAGAAAGAGCAGGAGGGAGTGGGGGACGTCAGGGGGCCGGAGCGGTGAGGCAGGACCCAGGCGGGGACCCACGCGGGGACAGCCCTGGCTTGGCTGGGAGCCGACGCAGCCTTGGGGACAAGATGGCACCTGCCGCGGCGGGCGGCTGGGAGGTGCCTGAGCGGAAGGGAACGCGCTCGGGAGTTTGCTGGGTCCCCCGCAGCGCACGAGTGCTGCTTCCCCACCGCGCCCCTGCAGCGGGAAGCGCCCGGCATCCGGCCCCCAGAACCATAGCCAGGCCTCTGCCGGAGGAGAAACCGGACGGCGAGGCCGACGAGAAGGTGCACATGACGGGGTACATCTGTCCTGTGTACAAGCCCGGAGCTGGCTGCTCTGCTTGGGAGGAGCGCGGGGGAGGAAGCAGGCCCCCCGCACAGATGGGTCAGCGCAGGACACGCCAGTCACCGACCGTCACCCCCGCAGCGAGGGGGAGGCCCAGGGCACCTTGGAGCGGATCGGGGCTCTGGGACATCTGCCCTTGACTGTGACGGCGCCGAGAGCAGGCGCAACGCCGGCCACCAGCGGAGGGAGCACCCGGAGCACCAGCGGTGCCGGGACGGCCGGGGCGCACGACGGAGCCCCTGAGGACCTGCGCCCGGCACCAGGGGCCGGGGGGGCCCAGGGGCCCAGGGGTGGGGCCCTGCCCCACCACGGAGGGACCGACTTGGGGTGACTCACACCCCTGTGCCCACGGCGGATGCACGGAGTGCGGCGCTCGAAGGCGGCGGAGATGACGGGCCCCCGGAGCCAGAGACCTGGGCGCGGGCAAGAGAGGGGCTGCACCCCCGAGGGACACATGCGGGCGCGGGCGGTGAGTGACGGTCCTGACACTGCTGCCTGCAGGGAAGCCAGGGACCCGCGGCCTCAAGAGCCTGGAAACCCGGACCAGCCAGGTGTGTGGGGGGAGCGGCTGTCGGCCTGCGGGTTCAGATGCAGCCGGGCCGGCACCGCAGGCGGGCGAAGAGGAGGGGCAGGGCCTCCCCTGGGGGGGGGGGCTCGGGCGTCTGCTCCAGGCTGCGCTCCGGGGAGGGCTCGCTGGGGGGGAATCGGCCTCCCTGAGCGTCGCGGCCGCACCGTTTGCACCGGCCTTGGGTGCGCGAGCTGGTGACACGCTGTCACACACGCAAAGTGCCCGAAGCACGCCAGCACACGGACACAGGCTCGCAGGACGTCTCCACGTTCTACGAGAAAACCAGACGCACGAGAGAAACAGGACAGCGCTGCCGCGGCCACGGTTAGTGGCCCCACCACGGGGAAGCTGCCTGGCCGCGGCCGTGAAGCCAGCTCCGCCCGGACCTCCACAGGCACCGGTCCTGGCACTTGAACATCCCTGGAGGGGACCAGGTTCCAGCCCGGTGAGCCGTCCGGGCGAACACGGCCACCCAGTGCCCCCCGTGTACGATCTCGCCCCCGTTTATCAGTGCCGCGCTGAGACCGCTTCCCTGCGCCTCTGGCACGCAGGAGGTCCATGCCACCCGGCACAGGTCAGGTGGGATTTCGGAGCAGTGACCTAGAGGCAGACAGACAGACAGATGTGGCGGACGTGTTCGTCGACTGCCCGACTCCTTCGCAGCGCCTGACCGCGGCTGTGAGAGCTGGAGCCCCGGCAGCCGCCGTGGAAGCAGGAGACACCGGCTGCCGCAGCTGCTTTTGTCCAGGACATGGACGGCGGGCGGCCTGCAGAAGCCGGGACCCCAGGACGCAGCCAGCGCCCCGCCCGGACGGCCCTCCCCGTCCTCCCTTCCTGCCGTAGCCAGCAAACCGCAGGCCCCGGATGAAACGCGCAGTAAACACGGTGTCGGGTCGCCCTGGTTTGGGTTCATCAATCTGCCGACAACTTTCTTCGCCTGAATTTCTACTACAACCTTTCTCTGCTGCCAGACACGATTCTATGGGCGCGTGGCTGCTCGTCTCTAGTGTTCGTGCTGCAGCCGCTCGGGGGGCAGCTCCGTGGGCCGGCGGGGCACCCTGTAGGTCCCTGGCACTGAACGCCGTGCCCGCCAGACTCCGCCTCGGAGCCAGCGGGTCAGGCCGCCTCCCCACAGAGATGAGCTCCGAAGAAACGCGACGCGGGACTCGAGGCCGTGCTCTGTGCAAACGGTCATCCAGGCGCCGACGGCCCCTCCGGTGACAGAAAGGAAATAAAGTAACCCAGACAGAGGTTTCGTTTCCTCGGGCGTCTGCTGGGTGGTGCGTCGGGGGCCTGGGTGGGATTCCACTCAGCGGCGTGGCAGCCGGGCGACAGCACGGTGGTGGCGACCGCGTTCTGTCGGCAGCGCCGCGGGGGCCGGGGCGAGAGACCGTCCTGCTGACTGTCCCTTTCAGTCCCCGCGCTCCTGGCGTTGATGCCGAGAGAGCCGTGCGCCTCTCGGGAGGGACCTCGCTGCCGCTGTGTCCCCGCCGTGGCGGCACCGCTCGGACCGGCACCGGCCGCCCGACCCGAACCGGAGGAACCCGGGGCTCCAGGCTCACGCGCTGCGAGGCCAGCGTTTTCCCTCGTTTCCAAGCTGCTGGGGGGGCGGGTTCTCCCGCCGAAGCCCTGGACGCTCGGCAACCTGCGCTCAGCACCGGGCTCTCCTTCCCCGGGGGCGGCGGGAGCCGGGAGCCGGGAGCGGGCTTTTCCTTGAAACTCAAAATGACGATGCTATCCTTTTTAACAAGTAAAACGAACTTGTAAGTTTTAACAAGTATCTTCCTTGTTGAATACAACTATAGGTTAATTACAAATTAAGCCGCGGGCTTCACTGCTTCCGCTCCGGAGCTGAAGCAAAGCCGGGCCCAAACCTCGGGGGCTCAGATCCGCTCTGGACAGAACCTGTGCACAGGCGGGTCCTGAACCCTGCGCTCCAAGTCCCCGGCACCGTGAGCCCAACAGCGAGTCAGGGAGAGGACGCAGAGCCACTGAGTACTTGGTACTGGGAGTCGGGCTGGAGTCACAGGTGGAAGCCGTGAGCCTCCGGGGAGACTCGGGAGTGAGGCTGAAGAAGCGCCAGCACCCGCTCGAGGGACGGGGTCCGACTCATTGGGGGCGAGGGGGACACTGAAAACAGGAGCCGTGAGCAGCACTGTCTGCACGGAGCCTGTGACCCGGTGGAAGCGGCTCTCGGCAGAGCCCTGAGCGCCGCGTCACCGCACGGACCCTCACTGCCGGCCCCATCCTGGTAACGGGGCCAGCGACCTGTTTTGAGCCAGCGGGGGCGGGGGGGGGCACAGAAACAAACCTTTTCTGTTTCACCATCATCAAAATGACTAAGACGGGGGGCACCTGGGGCTCAGTCGGTTAAGCGTCCGACTTCGGCTCAGGTCAGGATCTCACGGTTCGTGGGTTCGAGCCCCGCGTTGGGCTCTGTGCTGACAGCTCGGGGCCTGGAGCTGCTTCAGTTCTGTGTCTCCCTCTCTCTCTGACCCTCCCCTGCTCACGCTGTCTCTCTCTCAGATATAAATAAGCATTAAAATTTTTAAAAGAAATAACTAAGAGGGATTTAATGTTCAAATGACAAAAAATTTTCAGGCTTCATATAACTCACATTCTGTGCCCAACAATCTTAAATGTAAAAAGAAAAAAAGTTCATTTCCTCTAAACGGTGCTTGGAGAATCCGCTGGGGCTTCGCGGCAACCCCGCCCGCAGAAGGCGAGAAGCTCCGGGGCCCCGCCTGCTCCAGGCTCCGGCCTCGCGGCGGGCGCCACGCGGGGCTGGAAGTTTCGCTAGAGCTCCAGCCGCTGCGGCCGCAAGGGGCTCCTGCAGCAGAAGAGGTCACGGGCGCGGCCGCAGATGCCGGCCTCACGCACCTGCTGTGGGCGCGGCCCGGGGCCCAGGGGCTGGGGTGGGGTGCGCGGGGACGTGGGGGGGACGCGGGGGGGCGCGGGAG